TGGATTTATTATTGAATTTGTCACCATGAGCCAACTGACCTGTTTATCATCATCTATAATCCCACACTGGTACCCAGCCTGTCTATACCGATAGCATAGACGGAATACCTAACCATTTCCTTTAACATCTTTAAAAAAACACATATGGTATGTGATATGTATGTAATGTCTCAAGACAGGAATACATAGATTGATTAACTTCAAATCCGACATTAACCTTCAATAAATTATAATTTGTAAATTAATTACATTACACATACATAATGTGTCGTAATTTTCATTATTTGTCGTCTATTTTTCTCACGACAGAGGCTTAGAATTATTTATACATAAGTAAGTATACGAGTGTTAGAGACTGGTCAGGTAAGATCATTACTGCGTAGTCGAAATTATTTGTGGGCTATTTATTGCTCCAGTTTTTATATTGGCAATCAACTGATTTACATAATAATCTACATAGTTGGTAGCACCGTTTAAGCAATTGAGTTCTTTACCATCTTTGATATTTTACAATGTGTAACTCCTCTTTATAAGGATAGAAGCGAGTTTTTTTTTTTTTAATATATGATGATGGAATAGTAATCCTTCACTTGTGCACCGCCAGCGTACATCGATAGCGCAGGCGGGGTACAAGTGAGCGAAGATAGAGGAGGATGAATGGTTTATCGTGGCGGATTCACGAAGCATTATCCAGTATGATTTCCAGGGGGGACCACGTAGAGGTAGACCAGATAGGGTGTATTGCTAGTAATAGGACGGTTAATCTCCTTTGTTAACAATTACCTCCCTCCAATAATAGAGACAGTAATAAGTAATAATAAAGAGATTATTGAAATCAAGCAGTAAAAATATAACTAAATTTACAATATTGATAAAGTAGTTACAGAAAGAATGATGAGGGACTATTAGTGCTTAATTAAGACCGTTGCTAAAAATAAACCGGTCCGGTCGATTTTTTTTTATATAACACAAGGAGCAAACGAGCATGCGGTTCATCTGATAATAAACTGAGTTGTGGCCATTTTGTATTGCTATGGCACACTCACAATCGAAAATTATATTTAGCTTTGTGTATTTTTCTTTTTCATTTATGTTATCTCGCTTTTTTTGTATATGTATGTTGTAATTTGTGTGCTGTAAGTAGTGCAAATAAACTATCTATCTATCTAACTGACTACCGCCGCCCATGAGCACCCGCAACACCAGAGACATTACAAGTGTGCTGACAGCCTTTTAAAAAGAAATATACTCTGATGAATATGATTAATTCACAGTTCACTCATCACCCCTCACTGATACCCGCTCTCATAAAACGATAGCGTAGGCATAATTTCCATTGTGTCATTATTAATAAAAAAAATATAGATACATAAAAAAAGTAACAATTTTAATCATATTTCAATACAAAAGGAATGAAATCTCAATCACCAATATCGCCTAAAAGAATGACGTTCCACTATATTTTACGCGCTATCGCTTGACACTTGCACTTTCTATCAAGTAGGCACTCAACTTGTTTGTAATTCCTAGTTGCATAAAAAAATGTATTATTAAAATATCTCGAATAGTCACTGACGATACGTATCTACCCAAAGTGTCCTATTGCTATATTTTTTTTAATCTACGAGATAAATCATCGGCAATAGATCAGAAAACTCTGAGGTCATTACTAATGCACTCGATATTGTCATGTTCAAATTGTTTAATATAACAATAGCTAATCATTATTTCAAACTTGAGCTAGTATCCCATCAATCAGTGATCAAACTAACGCGTGTTACACGTATTAAAGAGTGGACCACACCCGACAATGTCGGTCAAGGCCTCGGTCGACCACTTTTAGTCAATAAAAAATATAACCAGTTTTAAAGGAACGCACTTATTCCGAGTAAAAAGTTCGGCAATGAAATATCATACAAGTTCTGCGTAAAGTGTTAAAGACATGCTTTTTTCAGTGCTGAATACCACTGAGGTTACTGTAATAAGGTTGAGACAATTTCACGGAATTGTATGTAATTGGAAGTAATAATTATTATAATAAACAATGTTTAATTTATTTATAAACTGTATTTCGTAATGGAGGCGAGTTCAAAGGAGTGGAAGTTCGATAAAATATGTAGGCATATGATGTGTGATGGAATTCATACCTTGTAAGCAGTTAAAAAGATTAAGGGACTATAACATGATAGAAGAAAAATGTTTAATTACGTCTGTACCAAGTTTATCCAATGTGGTAATAAAAAGTTAATATTCTTCTTATATGAGACAAACGTAAAAAACATTCTCAGTTATGGGATATTAATAAGATTGCCGTGTAGTTCCGGCATAGAATGGATCACCCCTTTCTTTCTCGTGGGTGTCGTAGGTGATTAAGGGAACTTAATTGTCGAGGGATTGGCAGCATCCTCCCTCTTAAAACATCACCAAAGCCTATATGCGGTTGCCAACCTGCCTGCCAAATGTGGCAACAACTGGCAAAACCTTCCAATACGAGGAGGCCTGCGTTTAGTTAATAGCTGATATAACGATGAGAAATAAGACGTTATGGTAACAATATATATTCCTAGGTATTTATTATAACGGCAAATCATAAATTTACCAGAGAGAGACTTTCTTAAAAATATCGTCTGCATGGGTATCTCTGTCCTACTCGTGTTTTTACCATGAAGCAGCTGAGCTTTCATGGTTGTGTTTCGGTTTGAAGGGTGAGACATGACATTGTAGAACTCAAGGATGGCCACTAATGAGGGATATCATGGACAATGTATTCTGTAATGTCCATGGTGTTGTTCAAGTTGTTAACGGTTACCACCAGATAGGCCGTCAGCTTGAATACCATTTTTAGTAATAATTACCATGCCTTTTCCCATTTATTTGGGGTCAGCGCTGTATGTCTTCTTCTTCTGCAAATCTCTGCCAGCTATGTATCATTAAAACAAATTATATAGGGATAACCAACTTTTTCATGATGAAAATAGAATGACAACCCTGTCTGCGCTAACGGTATACGCCAGCTGAGCACCAGTGAAGGATGATAGATAAAAATGAATACAAGCCAGTTAGCACGTCATCACAAATTCATCAGGAATTAACCATGATAGTTTTCAGGGGGGCCGCGTTAAAATTGATCTGGTTGGGTATATTGTTAGGAATGGGATTCTTAGTCTCCATTACTAACAATCCCTTTCCCCCTAGAGATAATGTACTTTTTAATGGATGATGGTAATCTCACCTAATTGAGGGATTGCTAGTAATGCGAACTACTACCAGTCATATTGCTAGCAATATACTCTGTCCGGTCAACCTCAACGTGGTTCTCCCTGTAAACCATCGTGCCGACTTCCAGGTGTATTTATTATGGAGGACTAATTAACCTGTCTTTTCACATCCTGCCTCACCAGCGTATACCGTTAGTGCAGGTTCCATTACCATCCATTAAAAGAGAAAAAAAATATCTCATAAGTCAGAAGGAAGAACAATCGAGTTATAATTACATTTTTTTTATTATAGTTTTAAAGGGGGATGAATATAAAGAAAAAAATAAAGAACAAAAATATGTATATAACGATAGTGAATAATAATACCAGATTTGACAGTATAAAATAATAGAACTAGAGAATAATTTTGTTATTTGTTTTATTAAATATAATAAATTAAATTCCAGGTAGGAATATATGGCTGTATTGCACAATGAACCTATCTTATAATTATGTGTAAATTATTTTATTATTAAAAAAAAAGCAATAAACGCGTTAGCAGATTTTCTTTCATCTATCTATACTTATAATAAATCTGTAGAGAGGTCAATTCTGTACATGAAATATGTATATTTCCAAAATAACTATCAGGGGGTGATTAGTGATCGATACTGATGCCAAAAATGCAATCAGTAAAATTTTTGATTGTCTGTCTGTATATTAACAAAAACTACTCGACGGATTTTAATGAAACTTCTTCATACTCCTGACAGGTTATAGTATACTTTTCATCACGCTACGATCAATAGGAGCAGAGCAGTGAAGGGAAATGTTGGGAAAACCGGAAAAGTTACTTCATTTTTAAGCTTCCGTCGCGTGTGCAGGCCTTAACGGTCACTTTTTAAAATGTAAAAATGTTAACCCGTGCGATGGCGGAACGGGCCGCTAGTCCTCAATAAAACAAATTAAACTTCCAACTGTGAACATTTTGAAGACTTCAAGAAGAAAAGAAATTCTCATTCTCAATTTACCTGTATCATTTTCGACAATTCTGAACAGATTTTGATAAGTATTTTTGAAATCGATATAGTTTATATATTCCAGGGTTAAGGTTATTAGGTTTTTTTTTTTACGAAACATAACCCTAAGTTCTTGGATTATGTAATTTTCTTTCAAAGTAAGTTTTTTGGAATGAACTTTACTGGCGTTTCGTCCTTTTAAAGTCACCTTCCAATATTGCCGTCAGCTGATTTATTTCCGGCCTCAACAATAATGTACTACCAGATATTGTTTTAATGAAACAATATACTCACGACTATAATCCTTAATGAGGTAGTCAGATCAGAAAAAATTTAAAACTGTAACGTTCGCTCAAGCTCAAATTTGAGTGAGCATATTAAATTCAACGAAAGATGACGGTGAATCGACAATCGTCACTGGGATTAACATGGTTATTTGTCGACGTGTTCCATCCCCAGAGAGTTAATCCAAATTGTTACTACCAATATTACATAAATAATTATGATCACCACCATTTATATTGTAAAGTACTTACATAAGTTAATGGGTATATATTACCAAGTGACACCTGTGTTGAGATTTGCGTATTGGAAAGATTGTTATCTTCATGCAACATAAAGCCAGTTAAGTACTAATCTCAATAGTATATCATGTTACACATACCAATGACCCTTCCATAATGCAGCCGGCAAAGACCTTCAACTCTCAATCAATTGTAAGACTTAATTAATGTACGGTCAAAGCCGCAGGCCGGTAATCTGTCACCAAACATTGCCTGTAGGCGAATATTCATATTGGTATATAAAGTGATACGTGCCAACCAGTGGCATAGTCCAGTTACAACAAGCAAACAGGAACAATGGCAGCTAAAGTAAGTGTTCTGTTCGTTATAATAGTAGAAAGTCCTTTATAAGACGCCCTATATATATAGCGTAATATAGCGTTTCCTTTCGTCCTCAAACAAGGAACGTTTATATATATTTTGAGAAATCAAATCTTAAACAGAAGCAAATAGAACTCAGATTCTAGTATTATATCTATACCATTGTATGTCCTACGCAGGTCATAAGTAAATTAGAGAATAGACTTATAATGTGTAATTTTAAGTACATTTGGTTTAAATATAGTATCAGTTTATACAATTATCTGACTTAAGTATATTCACGTATTGTCCATTATGGTTACTATCCCAGAAATATTGTATGATACATTCTTCTAATCTATTTTAATTTCTATTACGAATGATCTTATGTATTAATAAAAAACATTAAAATAACATATAATTAATCTAAACAGTTACGAATAACTGAATGGCATTTGATGTGTATTTTTCAAATATTTCATATTTCATTTCACAGTTAATCGTCGTTCTGTCCTTGGCGGTGGCCGCCTCAGCTGTCCCCTTGGGTCCTATCGCTAAGGTCGTCTATGCTGAGCCAGAGGCACCAGCTCACTACGACTTCGAATATTCAGTGCACGATGACCACACCGGCGACGTGAAACAACAAAAGGAGAGTCGCGCTGGTGATGCTGTGCAGGGTTTCTATTCTCTAGTCCAACCTGATGGCGTCCAACGCATTGTCGAATACTCATCTGATAAAGTGAACGGATTTAATGCTGTTGTACGGTACGAAGGTCATCCTACTCCTGCTCCCGTTGCCAAGATCGCGTACGCCGCTCCTGTTGCCAAGATCGCCTACGCCGCCCCTGTCGCTAAGGTCGCCTATACTGCGCCCGTAGCAAAGGTCGCCTACAGCGCCCCTGTGGCCTATGCTGCTCCAGTAGCGAAGGTCGCATATGCCGCACCCGTCGCTAAAGTCGCCTACGCTGCTCCTGTCGCTAAGGTCGCCTACGCCGCCCCCGTCGCCAAGGTCGCCTACGCCGCACCTGTCGCTCACGTGTCCTACTCTTCCCCCGTTATCTCTTACCAACACTAAACTGTGATAAGTTCCTGAGGCTATTATTTATTTAAATGGATAGTTGCTAATAAATTATTTATTTCGTTTATATTTTGTTTAATTGTCTGTATTTGAGACGTTTTAAATTAGAAACAGAAGTACAAAATTCATACAAATAATATAAATACTCACATACACGTGAAAACACTTCTTCCTACAATCATATCAAAAATCTACTAGCGCTCCAGATACCTATGTCATTTAGATACTATATATTATTCATAAGTCATACAGAGTATTGATAGTTTTACAGCAATACAGGGTGGTAACAGCATATGTGGGGTTGAGAAGGGGGTAACTGGACCGCACCTGAATTATTCATCGAGCCGCATAGTGATTTCATCTCATTGAATGGAGCCGGCGGCGGCGCGCCGTGATTACGACAGCGATACCTCCGTATCGTGTGTGGACACAATATGACTTGTCAGCTATGTGACCAACAACTGGTTTATTTTGGTGCATACTGGATGGCCGTATCTTGCGCACATCTGGTATGTACAAGTACTTGCAACTAAACCATTAAATGTATTAGCTAACTCTCTTTTTGGTTAAGTACTTGTTACGTTACATATCTATATAAATAATAACTACCTAAGAGCGATTCAAGTTAATATGTTATCATCATCAACAAGTTAGCTACTGCAGAATAGAAAGCCCACATATTTCTCTATAAATTGCGGCTCTGTACTACCTGGATCCATCAGTTCCCTGCAATATTATCGAGGTCGCCATTCCATCTCGAGGAAGATTGTTGTATATTACACTTGCCTGTACAAGATCGTCACTTATAAATCGTTCTTCCGCACCAATTATATGGTCGCGGTTTGGTTACTTCGGCTTGCTAATTCTTTTATTTGCATCGGTAACTTAAGTTTTGACTAACTTGCCTCTTGATATATCATTTAGTAAAATCATTACCGTTCATGAGTAAAATCACGCCATCTATCGATATATCTAATGTAGCTAATGTAGTTTTTAAAACTATATAAATATTTCTAAAACTACCTAAATATAACACCCGTAGACGGCACTCCCACACTAGTACTAGCGTAAGCATGACATAGAATGATATAGGAATTTGTGACATCATGTTGTTTGTCATATGCGATAACGAAAACGTATTTTTTTTACAACTTAGAATGACAAACAAGCTGACGGCCCACTTGATGGAAAGTGGTAACCATCGCCTATAGACATGAGCAGTACTATGGATATAACAGAGTATACTCTGTTTCGCCCATGATACGCCCCATGCGTTGCCATTCCTGAGGACCCAGGTGTTATTCCTCTGTACCCAGTAAATTCACACCATATCCCACCCTTCAAACTGAAACACAGCCATGCAAACACAACTGCTTCACGGTTGAAACACGAATGGAAGAGAGGTACCCAAGCAATCGACTTTTGTACAGTCTCCCTCTGGTAAAATATACGTACGTATAAGTAAGTAAGTAAAACCTTTATTAACAAACCTTTATTAACCAGCAACAATATTTACGAACCGATACGACATAATAACCTTAAAAAAAGAGTATATTCCTTTTTAAAAGGCCAGCAGTACACCTGCAATGCCATTGGTGTTGTACGTGATCATGGGCGGCGGTTGTCTCTTACCATTAGGTAAAACGCATGCTTGTTTGCCCCCTGTGTTGTAAAAAAACACAAATACAGGGTTGCATATTAGTTTACTACTAGTTTAAATACCTTTCACTTACAGCCGAAATATCCCAGACAAAATTTTTGAATTAGTTCAAAATCTTTGCCTCAAACCCATTACTCTGTAACCACGCTAAACTTTGCATCCTATCTAAGCGGATATTTCTACTTTTTTAAATTTAGAATATAATTTAAAAAAAAAATTAGTATAAGAAATACGAGTTGCACGTCGATAATTTAGCCCCACTCAGTGGCAGGTAAAAATGAAGAGATTGCTTTTTATCTGTGCAACGCGGCAAATTGAATGTAAAGTTGATTTCCCACCGGGCGCCCGCCGCCGCATAATTCCCCGCAAATTAAGCCGATACCAATTCAGTTGCTACCGATGTAAATATTATTGATAAATACCCCCCATTATGTACTTGTTTAATAACGCACGAGGTGGCGAAAAATACACAATATGTAACTACACGTTCTCTAAAGATATTAAAAAGGAGGGCTAATGGTTTTTCATATATACCTTCGGAATCAAGTTTTCGAAACTCTGATGCATTGATAGTAATTATTAATTATGTTATGGTAATTTTTTTTTATGGGTGAAAATGGTATGGTAACGGTAACACCGCCTGCGCTAATGGGATACGCTGGCGGAGCACCAGTGAAGGGGATAGATGAGAATGAAAACAGGCCAGTTAGCCCATCATGATGAATTCATCAGGAATTAACCATGATAGTTTCCAGGGGGAACCGCGAGGAGGTCGACCTGGTTGGGTATATTGCTAGAATGGGATTCTCAGTCTCCATTACTAACAATCCCTTTCCCCCTATTATTATTATTAATGAATATGACTGCAAGTAGGTTGCATTGCCCTTACATTGGCCATTGTTGTCGTATCTCAAATGAGATGCTTCAGCGGTGACCAAATTTGTTTATTATTACTTTTTTTTCTATTATTTATTTTATTATAAGATGTACTGATTAGGCCATTGTAGTCCATGATAATAAAGATTTTATTATTTTTAAGCATTAAATCCATTGGAATCATAATAAAAGAGGTAGATACTTACAGGATACAGGTAACAAGCGCGCCGAAAATTAATAGAATGACAAACAAGCTGTCAGTCACGTGATGGAAAGTGATAACCGTCGCCTGTATACATGAATAGTACCATGGATATAACTATGTATGTCAAACACTAGTCATTATAATTATTCTTATCGTTTTAGTCCAGCCATTCTATTTAAATTATTTGACAATGCAGTTTCCTAAATATATAATGTATTTTTTTAAAAAAATCATTTATGAAGTCGCGTAAAACTTAAAATCACGTTTACAAAAACAAATAACTTACAGATAATAATTATAATCATGTCAGCCTTTAACTGTCCACTGCTGAATATAAGTCTCGCCCTTGGGGGTTTTGCCAGTAGTTGCCATGTTTGGCAGGCGGGTTCACAACCGCAGTTTGGAGATGTTAAACAGGGACGCTGTTGCCGATCCCTCTCGAAAGCACTTAGTCGGCTCTTACGACACCCTCGGAAAGAGGGGAAAGGGATTGTTAGTAATGGGGTCTAATAGCCACATTACTGGCAATATACTCTCTCAGGTTGACCTCCACGCGGTTCCCTCTGGAAACCATCATGTTTAATTCTTGTCGAATTTATCATGGTGGGCCATCTGACCTGTATTCATTCTCACATATCATCTTCCACTGGTATCTCGTCGGTGTATACCAATAGCGCGGGCGGGATTACCAATCCATTTTCACCCATTAAAAAAAAAAGATACCCTCGGAAAAGGAAGGGGTGGCCTATTCTATGCCAAGACCACACGGCCACAGATAATAGTAGCTACACACCACAGATAGTAGTAGTAACACAGTGTTTTTACGAATTAAATTAGATTCACCATGTAACTAATACAGTACCTACGAGGGCTGTTATGGGCACAGTAAATAAATAAAAGAAAAAGACCTGTTAAAAAAAACTTACATGCAATATATATTTTTTTTAAACTATCAAAAATTTTACTACGTATATAACACAAAGATGTTATTGTACAACCTAAGTCCTTAGCAGACGACAGTGGGTGCCGAAAATAGTACGGCCGCTGTAATCTCAATCCTCTTAAAGCCGAAAATTAATCATGAGACGCAATGCGACGGGCCGGCTTAGGGAGGGGCCGCTGCGACCCGCCGTAGACGTGAGTCTTCATAAATCGATTTTGATTTTTGTTTGGAAATAAACAGTAACCGTTTTATAGTTTTGTAAGTTCACATTATATTTTAATGTAATAACTACCAGATTAACTTACAGAACAGCCACTCACGGTTAAAGGTTCCGAATGGTTTCGAAACTAGTCGAGCTTTCTCGACTTAATTAAACGTTAGTTAAGCCAGTTATTACAATATCCGTTTATAAAAAAATATAATAAATATACTCACGACTGTTATCTGTAAAGGGGTAGTCAGAGGCATTTGTCGATTTTTGTTGTTGTGATGAACCTAATATTTGATATGGCCACAGGTCTCCGAGCACATTATTCTAAAGTGGCAAGGAACGAGTCCGCCACCGTCACTCGAATTTTAAATGAGTAATATTTTAAGATTGAATTCATTAAAAAAAAAAAAACTTTGATGATTTCAACCATAGCAAAACTATTAATTTTGATTTAAAAACTAAACCAATAAACCGATTTAAAAAAAATATAGTACCAATCTAAAAGTATATCATTTCAGATAAAAAAAAAACTTTTCCAAATTGATTTACAAAGCTATAAGGTAACAAACATAAAAAAAAAAAACAGAATTAAAAACCTCCTTTTTTGAAGTTGGTTAAAAAATTTTTTAAATAATAAACATGTCTCAAATTCTGATGTAAATAATCGTATTACGTCAAAGAAAAAATAAAAATATTCTCATATGATTGCATATTTTCTGCTCTCTTAACCTATCAAGACGATAAAATCGTGCTGTTACGCCATACCATGATACGGTAAATTATAAAAATATTCAATAACTAGCGGCCTGTCCCGACGTCGCACGGGTGGACATTTTTACATTCTAAAAAGTGGCCATTAAGGCTGCACACGCGACGGAAGCTTAAAAATGGAGTAACTTCTCCCCTTTTCCCAACATTTCCCTTCACTGCTCTGCTCCTATTAATCGTAGCGTGATGAAAAGTACACTATAACCTGCCCAGGAGTATGAAGAATAATTGTACCAAGTTTCGTTAAAATCCGTCAAATAGTTTTTGTTTCTATAACAAACATACAGACAGACAGACAAAAATTTTACTGATTGCATTTTTGGCATCAGTATCGATCATTAATCACCCCCTGATAGTTATTTTGGAAATATATTTCATGTACAGAATTGACCTCTCTACAGATT